CATATGTATAATTTTGTGAACGTATTCGTCATCAGCAGTGTATATACTTAGATTTATTTTCTCTTATCTTTCTGCTTAAACCTGACACTAATCTACTAATGCTCATACAAAATATCCTCATAAAATCCTGTACATTACTCACTTTTATTAGAACTCTTTCATTAACTTATGGTTTAATTCAGCTTTACGAAGGCACAGAGGTAACAAAGTGTGCAAATATATAACACGAGTGACAGAATATAGGGACAGCAAGAAACCACTTGGTCCTTCAAGGTTGTCCCTGCACACCCACACCCAAGAAAGATAAAAGTTAAATACACCCCCTTACTTTACAGAAAGTCATCGATTCCCCTCTGAAACTGGAGACTAGCCTGTTTTTTTACAAATCTGAAATTTTTATCCTCTCAGAATTCAGCACAAGTTAAAATCAGAGATCTTTATCTCATTTATCTAAACATCAGTCAGATTTCTTCTACTTTTCTGTGCTCAATATGAGATAACTTAATCTATCTCCACAACATAACCTTACTACTCCCTAGTAGCCCTTCTCTGAACCCGTTTCAATAAGTAAATATCTTTTTTTTTTTAGATATGAAGACGAAAACCGTACACAATATTCCAAGTTAGACCTAACTTGTGATTTGTATAACGAGACAATGATTTCTTTTGACTATTAAATAACCATTATGTCTATAAATACTCTTAAGATTCTATTAGCTTTATTACTCGTAACAGAGCAATTGTATCGATAGCTTGAGTGACTCCTCTACCAGGAGTAGGGTACGAGTATTGATGAAAGAACACAATATCGTATGTAGCAATTAGTGGAAAAAAACCACAGTAAACGGAACGAACTGTAAGAAGACTGATATCAGAGAAACCAGTTTCGACGCATTCGTACGTCCTCTTCAAGTTTCACGTTGTCTTCAAGAAGAGGACGCACGAATGCGTCGAAACTATGATAGTTTCTCTGATATCAGACTTCTTACAGTTCGTTCCGTTTACTGTGTTTTTTTGTTTTTTTTCACTACTTCCAGGATTGACTTGGAAACCCATATCCTGTCCAGAAATAACTACAGCGCTGTCCTGAGCGCCTAATGTCCAGGAATTTAAACTCTACAGTTGCTATTTATTTAATTATATGTCTATAATTTAACTTTGTGTGGTTTGGGGGGTTACATAACAGTTATGACGCTTGCTTCTCTCTTTACTCGAATTGTCACGCGCTACGATAAAACAAAGAAAACGCATATACGCACTTCACATATGATTTACGATTGTTTATCACGTAAAACACGTGACATCACTTATACTGGGATCAACCGCCACTTACGAACATATAATTTTACAAAGTATTCAAAGAAGAAGGATGCCATAGCTCTTTTTCTAAAATTGTGGCATTGCTTGGAATATAATGAATGAAAATAGCAGGAAAGCGAAAGAAGTTAACGAATCAAAAATAACCTGAAGAAACAGGTAGCAACAAATAAGTTAAATAATTTAATTAATTAAGAAAACAGGCAATGATAAATAAGTTAAATAAT